GGGGGATCATGGTTACCTTCGTGGGGAAGGGGCGGACTGCAGTCTGTACAGATGCTACCACAGGTGCTGTTCTGGCCACGTTCACCAGGGAGCCCCGCTCCGGTCTCTACGTTCTCCACACCGAGCGCTCCCCGGTCGTGTCCTCCCCTCAGGTCGTTGCGTCCCCTCCGGCCCAGGTCCCCAGTCCAGTTGCGGTGTCTAGCCAGGTAGTCGTGTCCGGTCCAGTCGCTGCGTCTTGCTCCTGTCGCTCTCTAGCCCACCGCACCGTCCTGTGGCACCACCGCCTTGGCCACCCGTCGATCCCTCGCCTTCGTGGCACGCTCAGTCAGGGACTTGTCACAGGTCTCCCACGCACCTTCCCGTCGCTCCCTCCCTCGCTTGCCCCTCCTTGCTCTCCGTGCGTCGCCGGTCGCTTACGCGCTACTCCCCACTCCTCCTCCCTTCGTCCGGCCACCGCTCCCTTCGAGACTCTCCACTTGGACGTCTGGGGCCCTGCCCCGACGCAGGGGTCTGGGAGGGAGCGTTACTTTCTGGTGGTCGTCGACGACTTCTCCAGGTACACCACGGTGTTCCCTCTTGCGAAGAAGTCCGAGGTGACTGCTACGCTGATCAGGTGGCTTCTAGCCACTGAGGGCACTCGTGGTCATCGAGTCAGTTGTCTCCACTCCGACCGTGGGGGCGAGTTTCGCTCCGGCATTCTCGGCGGATTCTGCGGCGAACAGGGCATCACACAGTCCTGGACGCTGCCAGAGTCCCCACAGCAGAATGGGGTTGCTGAGCGCCGCATAGGCCTGGTCATGGACATTGCCCGCACGTCCATGATCCATGCCCGTGCGCCCCATTTTCTGTGGCCCCACGCGGTTCGCTACGCCGCACACCAGCTGAACCTCCAGCCGCGTGTCTCGCGGCCCGAGGCTTCACCGACCAGTCTTTGGACTGGTTCCCCTGGTGTTGGGTCGGCCTTTCGAGTCTGGGGCTGCCTTGCGCTTGTTCGCGACACCTCTGCGGACAAGCTCTCGGCACGCGCCGTCCCCTGTGTCTTCCTTGGTTTCCCAGTGGACTCTGCCGACTGGTCCTTTTACCACCCGCCCCTCCACCAGTTCCTAGACTCCCGTGACGTCCGGTTTGACGAGTCTGTGTCCTACTACACCCCCCTGTCGAGGTCTCCCGGTACCCCCTCCCCCCCTTTTCCTAGCACCCTCTCCTCCTCCTGCTCCTGCTCCTCCGGTACCCCCTCCCCCCCCTGGTCCTGCCCCGTCTGGTGTGTCCCACGCTACCCCTCTACCCTCGGTCGCGCGTCAGGTAGCGTCTCCCTCCCCGCAGTCCTCCTCACAGTCCCCTCAGCAGCCTTCGGCACTTCCGCGACAGGTTCCTGTGGACTTGGTTGGTGTTGGAGCTGGAGGTGCAGCCGCTAGTGGTGCGCAGTCTGGGGGTGCTCGATTGCGGGGTGCTGGAGCTGGAGGGGCTGGTGCAGGTGGCGCTAGCTCTGGGGGTGCTGGAGCTGGGGGTGCTGGAGTTGGAGGTGCTAGCGCTGGAGGTGCTAGTTCTGGGGGTGCTGGAGTTGGGGGTCCTGACACTGGAGGTGTTGGTTCTGGGGGTGCTGAGTCTGAGGAGACTGGAGCTAGAGACCCTGGTTCTGCGGAGTCCACTCCGCCTCCCCACCGCCACGACACGCGTCTCCAGGCTGCCCGTCGGCGTGAGCGCGAGGAGCAGGAGCGGTTGGAGAGGGAGCGGCAGGAGCTGCGGGTGCTGGACCTTCTGGAGCAGCAGCGGCAGCAGCAGCAGCAGCCGCAGCAGCAGCAGCAGCCGCAGCCGCCGCCGCAGCTGCAGCAGCAGCCGCAGCCACCGCCGCAGCCACAGCAGCGGCAGCCGCAGCCGCCTCCGCAGCTTCCTCTGGAGCGGTAGTTGTTCCCGCCTGTGAGTGGCCTGCGGGCCCTTGGCCTTTCCTCCTCTCCTCCTGTCTGCTCCCAGTCTCCTCCTGTGTTTGTTCCTCCGTTGCCTCCTCCTGACGACCGTCCGGCGGTCTGGTCTTCTCCTCCTCCTCAGTCTCCTCCTCCTTCTGTCCGTCGCGACTTGATCACCCGTTGTGCTCCGCGTGCTCGTCACTCGTCCCCTGTTATAGACCTCCACACTGCCCTCCTTTGTTCGTCTCGTCGTCGTTCTCCTTCTCCTGTGTCCATTCTCCCGTCTCCTCCTCCGTCCTCTCTCACAGCCCTCCCCACTCCTATCTCTGACTACTACCGCGCTGTTCGTCCTGTTGCCGCACGTGTCCTCGCCACTCTTGTCACCGACTCTCGTTTCCCTCCGTCGTCTGCCTCGGCTCTCACTGCCGCTGTCGCTGAGTTTGCTGCCGCCAGCCGCCTTGACTATGCCACCCGTGTGGTGCCAGGTCCTCCCTCCCGTCCTCTGTCCGTCGGGGGTGGGTTTGCCCTTGGCTGTGACGTCCTAGAGGACAGAGAGTCTGAGCTGGAGTACTGGGCAGCCGCTTCTCCCTCTGTGTGTGCCATGCTGCTCTCCCCTGAGGGAGACCCCGACGCCCTTGACATACCGACTCCTCGCACTTACCGCGAGGCAGTGTCAGGGGCGTGGACCTCTCAGTGGAAAGCGGCTATGGACTCAGAGTTGGCGTCTTGGAGATCCACAGGCACCTACGTCGACGTAGTTCCCCCTCCCAGGGCGAACGTAGTCGATGGCATGTGGCTCTTCAAGGTGAAGCAGCCGCCTGGAGCACCGCCAGTGTTCAAGGCGCGCTACGTGGCTAGGGGCTTCAGTCAGCGTGAGGGAGTTGACTTCTTCCAGACCTTCGCCCCGACCCCGAAGATGACTACTCTTCGGGTGCTACTCCACATAGCAGCGCAGCGAGACTACGAGCTGCACTCCCTGGACTTCTCCACTTCGTTCCTCCAGGGCCGACTGCACGAGGAGATCTGGCTGCGCCGTCCTCCTGGCTTCATTGACACCTTCCCACCTGGGACCCAGTGGAGCCTGAGGCGACCAGTCTACGTTCTCCGCCAGTCGCCCCGTGAGTGGCACGACACTCTTCGCTCCACGCTTCGTGACCTTGGGTTCAGCCCGTCCTCCGCCGACCCGTCGCTGTTTGTTCGAGCGGGTTCTACTCCTTTCTTTATCCTTGTCTAAGTCGACAACTTGGTGTTTGCTACCGCAGACAGAGCAGCCCTGGCTCAAGTGAAGTCCGAACTGCAGAAGAGACACAAGTGCACGGACCTGGGTGAGCTGCAGCGCTACCTTGGTCTGCAGATCACCAGGGACAGAGCCGCTCGCACCATCACACTGACGCAGTCACACATGGTGCAGCAGGTCCTTCGGCGGTTCGACTTTAGTTCTCCACCACACACCCCACTCTTGCTGTTGACCTCCGACTCACTGGCCCCTTTCCTGACGAGCCCTTTGAGCCCAGTGGTCCCTACGCAGGGCTTGTGGGCTGCCTCATGTACCTGATGACTTGTACTCGGCCGGACCTCGCCTTTCCCCTCAGCATCCTCTCTCGCTTTGTTGCGACTGGGAGACACCGTCCTGTCCACTGGACAACTGCTGTGAGGGTGGCGAAGTACCTGGCGACTACATCAGGCATGGGGCTTGTGCTTGGAGGGACTCAGCCAGTGGTGTAGACTGGTCACTGCGACTCTTCCTACGCTGACGACGTGGAGACTCAGCGCTCGACTCAGGGTTACTGCTTCAGTCTGGGAGCTGGTGCTGTGTCGGAGGTCTACACGGTCATCGTCTGTGGCTACGTCCAGTGCAGAGGCAGAGATCTACGCTGGTGCCATGGCGGCACAGGAGCTTCGCTGGTTGACCTTCTTGCTCGCCGACCTTGGTGAGTGGCCTCGCTCTGCACCGACCTTGTACGCTGACAACAAGGCCATGATCCTCCTGTGTCGAGAGCCTCGACTGGAGAGCAGAGTGAAGCATATTGACGTGACGTACTTCCTCCTGCGAGAGCTGCAGCGACGCGGCCAGGCACGCCTGGACTTTGTGGCCTCAGAGGCCAACACTGCAGACGTCTTCACCAAGGCCTTGGCGCTTGGTGATCACCACATGTTCTGTGTGCAGTTGGGGCTTGTTGAGGTAGGCCCTCGGTTGCTGTAGTCTTGTTGTTTGCTCTGCTTGTTGTGCTTCCTATTTATATCCTAGTGAACTCTTGAACTGGCCTTGTGGCCGCTTGCTTGCGCTCGGAATTTGTGTGGTGTCCTTGAGATCCACCCTGAGCTTGCCTTGTTTCTTGCTTTGACTGGTCTTGTGACCATTTGTTCACCTTGCTTGCTTTGATGCCCCTCACTTAGCCTATGGGGGTGTGTCAAATGTAATTCTATGCTTGTAGGCTACAGTGAGTAGCACAATAGGGAGTACAGTTGTTAGGGTTGCATATTTGTACTCTCACACTTTCTAGTTTCGCCCATTCCGTTGCATTCCTATTCTAAGAGGGGGGGGGGGGGGGGGTACGAAGGGGAAACTGCCTCGGAACCATCGTCATTTCCCTTCGCCCCCCCACCTCCCTCCCAAGGGAGATGCCTGCAGAACGCGGCCATTGTAACCATACAGCAGGTATTTCATTAGCAGTGGAACAAAGCTCGAGACTTGTTAGTGCAAAGGGGTTGTCAGTCTCAGGCCAAAGATGTCGCGTTGGTTTCAGGCCAGGGGGAGCCTTTCCAGTGGTTGGTTGTGCAGACACCTTGGTGTGAGGGCGTTCATTCCATTGGCGTACAATGTACCTGGGGTTTGAGCCTCTTGACCAACCTTATCGCGATGACTCCAAGGAACTTCAAGGGTTGCTTTACCTGCAACAAGGGTACAAAGAATCCTTATTTCAATCAAGGTAGCACCAACAAACGCTCCGTTAGGAGGCAGTCGATTGCGGAGCAAGCCGCAACTGATCAGACAGACGCGCATCACCGACTGCCCAAAAGTGAAGGACATCCAGCGCGAATGAGTCATTGCGCTGTTCACCTGGAGACCCTTGAGTTCATCTTCTGCGCATCACA